CCTTGTATAAATTCGTTCTTATTCTTAATAATTATGTTGTACAAAAGTGCGTCTTTTGTTCCGACCTCCTCCTCCTTAAAGGCACCCTATTTGCCTCCCTGGACGTGGCTCTGCGGCTCATCTGCCAGACCTGTCCTAACCTGCACTGTTTCCTGGTCGACCGTGGCCGTCTGGACAGCTTACACACCTGGATGGCGCATCTTCCCGCCTCACTGACGTGCCTAAGCATCACTAATGTGGCTATCACGTGAGTTGGCTCCCCTTAGCAGGCAAAACAGAGCACAGACTGGCGCTATGAGGTCTGGCGAAAGGAAAAGACCGTGATCGCTAGTTTTAGCAGGATTTTTTATTCGTTCAACGCTTCACACTCACAGCTAGATGCATCATCGGATAGGGACACGCAGCCGGCCGTGAAAGAAGCTAAACAAGTGCAGGTCTTACGGCATTAATCAGGCGTTTGTCCGCTGACACCAGCGTCAAAACTCGTCGCACACCGCTCCCGGGAATTTACTATGCTTCTGGAACCATGACCTGGAAGAGAGAATAGTGTGAACGATCAATCGCAGGAACTCAGCGCGTGAGAGGGTCTGGCCAGGAGAAGCGAAATTTCTTTAAGGCTTCGGGCTACTTAAGTAAACCGGTAAATGCCAGCTATTTGCACGAGCCACCTGCGCGCTTTCTCTCTCTCTCTCTCTCTCTCTCTCTCTCTCTCTCTCTCTCTTGCCTCCAGTCTTCTTGACTTGATCATGACGTCGGGCTCCGGTGGGTGGAGGAGGAGGAGGGAGCGTGCTAGATGCGTCGCAAGTCTACAACCAATATAATCTAAATGACGCGCACGTCAATGCCCCCCAACCCGTCCACGACAGTTCAACTGTCGATTTTGACTGTCCACCGCATGCTTCATGGCTGGCCGGAAGTAAGTGTAGTGACTTGCACGTGAAGTAAGTGATAGTGGCAGTTGACTTGCAATGCCTTTACCGCACTCCTGATCCTCCACCTTGACCCGGTGTCACGACAGGGTCGAGAAGACCGGAAGCAAGAGAGACTGGGGTAAGTTGTTACGGCAAAAATCTGCACATACAAACTGCAAAAAACTACTGTTACTGTGCTCTATAAGAGTAAGTTGTTTTTGTAAAGCAGGGATTTTCTTGTAAAAATCCTTAGATTTCACTAGTTGTGGTAGATACTATATGTGTACCAGCGTGCTTCTTTGCCCATAACAAACACTTGGCTAGAATCCTAACACCACAAAAAGGTGATAGAGACAGTGGCCAGAATGCCAGCTCTCATGGCATGGGCCCACGCACTATTACACCCCAGTATAACCACAGTTCACATTCGGTCAGGATTTGCGCATATCATGATGAATGTGACATGGATCTCGCATGTAGCCGTAGGGCCTCGCCGAATACGACGGTCGAACTGTCACGTGCCAGGGTCCTTATGCTGCCTGACACATTGGGCTCAGGAATTCTTAAATGCTCAACTTCAAACACTGGTGATCGTCCCCACATCAACTGGTCTTCAGCGCAGGCTCAGAACTCAAATACCTATCATTGCGGGAACAGATTTCATCTTTGCCTGAGCTTATCGATGACCTTTTTCCATGGTGAAAATGTTGCTTTCGTAATGTATCTTTTAGTGACTTGCTGTAGGCTCTTCAGGGCCTCTGCGGGGATGTTTCCCAGGGGAGGGGAGGGGGGGAGGGAGGTGCGAGTTGACAACAGACGAGTCCCTAACAGCCGCTCGGATTTTTTTCTCTAGGTTGTCTCCTCTAGCGCTTTGGCTGAATAGTGCGATGCAGTTGTGGCAGTTAATCATTGCTCTGCAATGCTGGCGTCGTCAGCCCTCT